ACCCCCCCTCCCCCCCCCCTCCCTCTCTCTCTCTCTCTCGTTTTTTATATCTGGGGTGGGGCAGTCTTTGCAACATAAATTGATTCATTTCTCATGTACATCACTGATTATATCGTCTTGATAAAGCAGCTTTACATACATGACTCCCTCTGCTGACTCTAGGATTTATTGTTTAGCCCTTGGTCTAGGCTTGTGCTCTTCCCATTTTTCACAGATCTATTTGTTTGATGAGCATGCTTTGAGAACTGTTACATCTAATCTAGTACTCTTGTTATTTCAGTGTATGCAAAAGGTGGCATTTCTTGTCTAAGTAGGTCCTTAATTTGAAGTTTATATTCTGTCCATTTGAGCTTTGTAACTTCTACTCATGACAGGGCTTTGTTAACATGCCTGATTGTGCTGTTCCTTTACTTGATAATTGCTGCTTGTTGTGGAGGCATCACTCTACCTTCCTGCAGATCATGAATTCCTTGGTAAGAGACACCATAGCTGCCTGTAGTATGGTTCAGATTTTCAAATGGATTTAGATAAGAACTATAAATCACTCTGAAAGGTTCTTGTATAATCAACCGTGTTGATTCTCATTCTGGCACCTTTCAGAGTACAGGTTAAAAGAATGATAAGGTTTGTATTGTTGTTGTCTTTTTTGCCTCTACCATGTTGTAAATGCTCCAGTAAACTCCTTAGATTATTCTAAAGCATTGGATCTTCCATATTATGTATTTGTAGATATTTGATAAGTTCAACGCCCTGTTTGTAAATGTAACGTTCTACTGTGACTTCACCACCTTCAAATATTTACCATGTCAATTCACCTTTTCCAAATATGTGGTGGTTGAGGCTTTTGTATCGGTGAGTAAATACTGCATACCAATAATTTTAGTTTGTGGGAAGAGTTCTATTGCCTAGGAAGTAGATGACCCTTCATTACGGGTATATCCTACGAGAATTGGATGTTTGTAAAATCCAAGTTTTGGATCACCCTTTCTCAAACATAAAAATCATTACAATTAAGCCTCTCTATAGCATCATTGTTTGTTCCGATATTTTTTGGCTTTTATAGTGAATGACTGTTATAAACCTATAGTAGCATTTGACGTTTAAATACTTTTTGGCTGTTATATATAAAAATCATCCAAAAATTGATTTTTTTCCTCTTACATATAAAAGATAAGATATTTAAATTTAAATATTCAAAAGATATGCATAATTTACTATTTAAATATTAAAGAAAGCTACTACATTAGTAATAAATTCATAACTAAGTGTACAAAGATTTAAACTTTAATGTGCACATTTTAAAACTACTAGAAGATTAAATTCTTGAAGGCAATTTAAGAGCTTAACAGTTGAATTTTCTATCTCAGTCCAAGTAGTAGTAGGTTGAAATCAAAATCTTTAAACTTATTATTAGTGATGTTAGAGATTTAGGACTGTTATAGAGGGGTACTTTTACTAAAAGCGTATTGCTATAAAAATAGATGGCTTTTATAAGTAAAAAGTTGTTACATAGAGATAAAATATAACATAAAAATTTGAAATTGTGAATAACTATTAGATAAGATTACTGACTGTATAACTAAAATGAATTTGAAAAGGGGAAGTATTAATTTGGTAGGAAAGTATCATGACTTCATTATTCTTTCTTGTGTTGGTGCTGTTTTTATTAGGCCGAACGGTGTGATGCCAAATTAGCGTCTTTTGTGCCTCTCCACAATGAGCATTCCAACTACTAGGATTATGCCAAATTGTCTAATCAACAAACCAAAATGCACGTTTAGGCCATATAGCTCATCTCAGTGGGCTCTCTAACTTACTTTGCCACGTGGTGATTAGATCTAGGTTGAAGAAGGTCATATGGGCCCCAGTTACGCTTAATAGCTGCACAAATTTTCTTGCCGTCCATGCACTGACTACAAGACAAATCCACTGTCTGTTAGTGCTTTGTAATGTAAAAGTTTTAATGAGGAAGTTCTGTAACGAACCACCGAAAAATATTTTCTATTTGTGGCATAGCACTATTATTCGAGGTGGTGGATATTGGCTTTTAACTCCCTCTTTGTAACCTTCACTAATTTTCTAATAGACGAGGTTTTAATGGTGTTCATGGCAGTTTATGCGTATCTCAATTAATTCTATGAGGTACTCCCTTCGTTCCATTTTATGTGAACATGTTTGACTGGGCGGAGTTTAAGAATAAATAAAGACTTTTGGAATTTGTGGTCCTAAACAAGTTAAAAAGGGGCCCAGAGTATTTGTGTGGTTATAAAAGCTTCTCATTAAGGGTAGAATTGTAAGTTTAAGCTAAATTGTTACCAAATTTAGAAATGAGTCATTCTTTTTGGAACGGACCAAAAAGGAAATAGGTTCACATAAACTGGTACAAAGGGAGTACTTGTTATTTGGGTATACAATTATATGTATTGGGTAACTTTGTTCGGGACGAGTTCCAATTTTCACCCAACTTTGGAGATATTCAATCAAATAGAGGTTTTATCAGTGGACTTTGTAATCAGCAAGAATTTTGTTTCATACAAAATTTTAAGTTATTGGAAGTTTGCAATAGGAAAATGACTCATTTAAGAGAGAGAAGTTATATACAAAATAGTTTAGAATATCTACTAATAGGCTGGCTTAACATGAAATCTTATTTGGTAACTAAATCTTTACTTCATTTCGTTAGTTCAATTCGATTTTTTCAGCTTTCATATTTTAGTTCGTTTTTTTTTTTTTTTTGGATTAGTTTTTCTGTTGGGCATGTAAAAGAACTCCCTCAAAATTGTAGAAATAATTTGTCATGCTCTCTTCAATTCTTATCTTTTTTTGTTATTATTAAAAGGGAGACTAATACAAAGAAAATATGGAAGAGAGAGGTGAAGAGCAGGGACTGTGGGAAAATGCTTTTATTAACCTTATAAAAGATTCTATTTGATTAGCCCCTTTTCTTCATATTCTATTTTTTCTTATATTGTTTTGTAATATAAGCCAAAGTAGGTACCCAAAAGCATCAATATATCCTATTGCTCAGTGATTCCTCTACTCGATTTCAATTTCAATAAACTCCTCCTCCTTAAACTATATAATTACCTCCCACCATAAGTAGCCATTCTCCATCTTACAGTCTCTCTAAATGGAAACTCTTCTCAGACCTTTTCCATCTCCTTTACTTTTCACTCCTACACCTCACAGGTCTATTTTTCAACTGAATTCTACTTTTCTGAATCCAACCACCCAGAACTATTCAAGAAAAGTTCATCGCAGAAACAAAAGTAGTAGTAACAAATTTTGTAGCTTTCTTGACTTAGCACCCACATCAAAACCAGAGTCTTTAGATGTTGACATCTCATGGGTTGATCCTAATTCGGGCCGGGCTCTATTCGACGTGATCATCATCGGAGCTGGTCCTGCGGGCCTCCGGCTAGCTGAGCAAGTATCAAGATATGGTATTAAGGTATGTTGTGTTGACCCTTCACCACTTTCCATGTGGCCAAATAATTATGGTGTTTGGGTTGATGAGTTTGAGAAGTTAGGATTGGAAGATTGTTTAGATCATAAGTGGCCTATGACTTGTGTTCATATAAATGATAACAAGACTAAGTATTTGGGAAGACCATATGGTAGAGTCAGTAGAAAGAAGTTGAAGTTGAAATTGTTGAATGGTTGTGTTGATAATGGAGTGAAGTTTTATAAAGCCAAGGTTTGGAAAGTGGAGCATGAAGAATTTGAGTCTTCAGTTGTTTGTGATGATGGTAGGAAGATAAGGGGTAGTTTGATTGTAGATGCAAGTGGTTTTGCTAGTCCTTTTATAGAATATGACAAGCCAAGAAACCATGGTTATCAAATAGCTCATGGGATTTTGGCAGAAGTGAATAATCATCCATTTGATTTGGATAAAATGGTGCTTATGGATTGGAGGGATTCTCATTTGGGAAATGAGCCATATTTGAGGGTGAACAATACTAAAGAACCAACATTCTTGTATGTGATGCCATTTGATAGGAATTTGGTATTCTTGGAAGAGACTTCTTTGGTGAGTCGGCCTGTGTTATCGTATAGGGAAGTGAAAAATAGGATGGTGGCAAGGTTAAGGCATTTGGGGATCAAAGTGACAAGTGTTATTGAGGATGAGAAATGTGTGATCCCCATGGGAGGACCACTTCCGCGGATCCCTCAAAAGGTTATGGCAATTGGTGGAAATTCAGGGATAGTTCATCCATCGACAGGGTACATGGTGGCTCGGAGCATGGCATTGGCACCAGTTTTGGCTGAGGCCATTGCTGAGAGCCTCGGCTCAACCAGAATGATAAGAGGGTCTCCACTTTACCATAGAGTTTGGAATGGTTTGTGGCCTCTGGAGAGAAGATGTGTGAGGGAATGTTACTCTTTTGGGATGGAGACTTTGTTGAAGCTTGATTTGAAAGGGACTAGAAGATTGTTTGATGCTTTCTTTGATCTTGATCCTAAATACTGGCAAGGGTTCCTTTCCTCAAGATTGTCTGTCAAAGAACTTGCTATGCTTAGCTTGTGCCTCTTTGGGCATGCCTCAAATTTGGCTAGGTTGGATATTTTTACAAAATGCCCCGTGCCTTTGGTTAAAATGATTGGAAATCTAGCAGTAGAGACCATTTAAATGTGAAAGGTTGGATAATTTTAATTTCTTAGATTATTTTCATCTTTTCTAAATGAAAAAAATGAAAGAGGTCTCTGTAATGCTAGTTTACTTGGTGGATTTCACTCTTGACAGAAGTCTAGCGGAAAGAAGAAATGGAAGCTACTATTCCCTACGTATCAAGGATTCAATATATGTGATAAAGATTGATTTTCGTGCTGATATGACTTTATACAAGACACCTGGCTAGGAAAATAGCATCGTAATCACTATCGGTCAAACTCGGACTAGTTCACAAATCCGATATCCTGTCGGAAAATATTTTGGTCTAAAATTTATCACAAGACAAAAATTGAAACTTCATTAAAGGCTGTAGAAAAGAAATTAGGATTGAACCACTGTTGAATAGAGTACCTAACGAAATAGTCTGAGGTGTGTGCGAGCTTAACTCAGACACCACCATTATCCAAAAAAGTGACAATCAAGAGATTGGTATTTATAGACGTAGAGAAGTTATAAGTTTTAGGATCCATGAAAATAGGATAAACTGCATTCTTGTATGGCCAAGTTATCAACCAATCTGGTTGTATAGCCAAGTTATGGATCAATGCTGCATTTCAGATATATATATAAGTCTGCATTTAATTGACAGGACTAACTAATCGCTAGAGTTTCCAAACACAATGAATTAAGTGGATAATATCTTTTCTATAACAATAAACAGGAAAAGCATCAGTCTCATTAATCATCGACAGACAACTGGGAAGCAATCATGCCTTTACAAATGAACTATTAAATAAATGTTGTTTTAGTCTAATGGAGTGGGTTATGCAAATCAAGTTCTCTAATCAAGGTTGGTTTATGAACTGCTCCGCAATGACCCTCTAATATCCTCAACCTACGGCCAGGCACCAGAAAACGGAGCTGCTCCATCATATCTTTTGAGAATGTTTAGTATCTAATTCAAGGGAAGGAATGAGCATTTACCATCCTTGAATACTATTGCCTTAGTGCGACAACCCAATCCATAGGTTTACTTATCTGTTGGTCAGCTGCAAATTATGAAAAAGACCTTAAAGAAATTTGATCTCATAAGTTTTCACACTAGTACTTTTATATGTATTCTCTCTGTCTAAAATTGAATTAGGTTTTGCTTTTCATATCCAGTCAAGAAACGTACTTGAAATTTTCGAAAGATGAAGAGTTTGAGTTGTAACAACTCCTCCATACAAGCACCAATTTTTTTTAAGGAAAAGTATTCTCAACAATTTCATCCAAACTAATCCATGTTACCCCCCCCCCTCCCCCACACACACACCCCCAACACCCCCACCCCCACCCCACCCCACCAAAAAAAAAAAAAAACCTCTACACTGATATATGGAGTATATATTTCAGCCCTCCTCATAGTTCATTCATAACGCAAATAGCTGTAACTTGTATCAAAGAACCATTCTCACATACATCCCCCCTTCTTTACTCTATATAATTCCAACCCTTTGTCTTACTTCTTTTATAACGCAAAAAAGCGGTTATAACTTGTGTTAAAGGACCTCTCTCAAATATCTCACATACATCCCCTAGCTCTCCCCTGCATATATTAAAATAGTATAATGGATTCAAAATCCCAGAGCCATGAAACAGCCATTAACATATCTGAAACAGAGTCCAACAAAGGAAAATCTACTGCTGCTGCGCCTGCTGCCACAATTGTAGCTACCACAAAAGCTATTCCTCATAATCAGAAGGGTGGATGGCGACGAGGGGTTGCGATATTCGACTTTATTCTGCGACTTTGTGGCCTTGTGGCTGCTCTGGCTGCTGCTACTACCATGGGAACTACTGATGAAACTCTTCCTCTTTTTACTCAGTTCTTTCAGTTCGAAGCTAGCTATGATGACCTCCCTGCTTTCTCGTACGTATTATTGAATTGTGACCACCTCACTGATACTCTCATCCTAAAATTATAAGGATCCGTTTGTTCATAGATTTTCTTTTTCCGGAATTTTTTTAAAAAAACATGTTTGTCCATGAAATTTTCAAATTTTTCTATTTTTTCCCCACTCACAAAACAGCCAATATTTTTTTAAGTGAAATGAATGTCCAAACATAATTTCAAACTCCAAATACCATTTTTCAACTTAACTCCAAATACTAATTTTTTTTCAAAAATTATAATCTTTTTGTCTAAACGCCTACTAAGTTGTTGGAAAAGCACATTTTTTATTTACTCTCTCTGTTTCAAAAAGATTGACAGTATTTCTTTATTAGTCTGTTCCAAAAAGAGTGGCACCTTTTCATATTTCCTCAATATGACTTTTTAAGCCACATAAATATTATGGCATGTTTCAGACCACAAGTTTCAAAATTTTAGAGTCACACATATGTTATGGCTTATTTAAGACCACATATTTTAAAAGTCTTTCCTTTTCTATTAAAGTTTGTGTCAAGTCAAACTAAAACAATCTTTCCTAATTTTCCTTTTCAGCACTACACTATTTACAGTATCTGATTTGCTTAAATTTGGCCAATAATTAGTTACAGTCATTTTTTTTCTCTTTTCTACTAATTCTGATTCTGAGTTGATGAAACTGTTATATATGATTGATTTTCAGGTATTTTGTGGTGGCAAATGCTATTGCAAGTGGATACCTTGTCCTCTCTCTACCTTTCTCCATTGTTTGCATTGTTCGACCACATCTTGTTGGAGCTAGACTTCTTCTGTTAATTCTTGACACAGTAAGCAGAATAAACAAACTTCTCAATCCTGCTAAGTGTTAATTATAAGCACTGCCGTCATTTGGAAAATATATAAGGGGGAAACAGGATGAATTAAGCTTATGATTAAGAAAATTAAAATGGTGCAGGTAATGGTGGCATTTACCACGGCTGGAGCAGCTGCGGCGGCTGCCATAGTGTACTTAGCAGAAAACGGCAACTCCACCACACAATGGCTGGCGATATGCCAGCAATTCGGCGATTTCTGCCAGCGAGTGAGCGGCGCCGTCGTGGCTTCCTTCATTGCGGCAGTCATCTTCATCTTCCTTGTCATTTTCTCTGCCCTGTCTCTCCGAAGACACTAAGACCAAATGGACATTTGGAGTCGCCACTGTTGTTTATGGAATGTACTATCTTATCGTATGATGTGCTCACTTTCGCAAATATTTGGATTTGGTTTGTCTTTCATTTTGAGTTGTTGTAATGAAGTTTTTTTGACTTCTTGGACGTCAATTTGCATATTCACTTCTCTAATACGGTTCCAAACAGAAAAATTCAAATCTAGATTGCAGTGTGTCTCTCCAACTTATTTTAACCAAAAATGAAAAGTACTACTAGGAAGTTGGATTAATTTTTCTCCAAGTCTTCTTGTTTCCTCCCTACTTTTAATCTAGTAGGATGGTTTATCTATATTCATAACTAATTGGCTTTATCTACCTATGGGATCTGACACGGTTAAATTCACGAGGTTAACTTTTTCATTCTTTCCTCAAGTGAGGAACTTGACATTATGTTAACTTCAATCTTGTCTCTAGTACTTATATCTTTTGGTAATATTTCAAAAGTTTTTCGTCCTTTTTTTTTCCATCACATATCTTCCGAAAATCATAAGTTTTTCTTGTTTTGGCGATTGATGAAGATAATTTAGTTAATCGATATTTTCATTAATCTATCATTTAATCATATGATAAATTTATATAATATGAAATCGAGCAAGAAGAAGAATGTGCAGCTCTTTACCACGAGTCCAGAATCCAATTGTGGTTTTTTTGGACTCAAAATACCGAAATAAGTGTAAAAAAAATTTGGTGACCAAAGTATATACAACACGCTTTTAAACCGGACGTTAAGGTAAAGCGCGTTTCAAAACCACGTTTTATATAAAACGCCTTTTCAAACCACGCTTTACATATTTTGTGGGCCCGTCAATAATTCTTCTGCGCTTAACTGACATAAAAATAATTCAAATGGGTAAAACGCCCTTTTAAAAAGCATTTCACTTCAAAAAATTCGACCCCCCGGATTGGGCATTGCCTTATTTAAAGGCGTTAAGGGTTTTGCAAAAATTCATTCAAAAATAATCTCAACTCCTGATAAATTTTTCTTCTTGTTAATTCTCAAGCTTTTTTTTCATAATGTCTGAAGAGCGAAAAGTAAGGGTTTCATTATATTGGGGGGGGGGGGGGGTGAGGTGTGGTGGCGAATAGCTTAGTGAGCTATAGTTTATCTCCACAGACTCATGTTAAGTTGCCACTTACAATAGAGTACAATAGACAGGTATCGTTGTTATGTAATAAAATGAGTGTGAGCAAACGTTCGGTGAATCTTAAAATAACCGGAAGATATCCGTATTATGTAACTCCGCAAGGGGTTGCTTGTTACGCTGAGTTTAACATCGAGGATGATGAAACTCTGAGAGATTTTTTTGGGGACTCCGGATGAATACAGGGAATTTATTTTGATAAAAATATTGGAAATGTACGTGAAGGTTGAAGACGTTCGCAATAATGAGGTTGCGCAAAGCAGGGATAACCCTCAATCATCGGGTGGTTATTTTGGAGCAGTTTTAGCCGAACAGCTTCCGGCTGAAAGAGTTTGGCCGGATCTAAACTTATCTCCACGGGCGAATGAGGAGCGAGAAAATAATTTCTCTCCTACTTTACATAATCCACAAGATGACTGGTAAACTTCAATTTTCCTTTGTGTTACAATATTTATTTTTGTTGTATTGAATTTGTATTAACACTTATATATTTCACAGGGGGTACCGTCCAGATATGAATTTTACAAGTTATGAACCCACGCCCAGTTGGAATCGGTGGTCCATTCGGGTGTCATCACCAACAGGATAATGTCCATCATGGAATGTCAACACATTACGACTTTTAAGTGAAGTGATATAGGTATATGTAAAGTATTTATCATTTTGAGTAGCTTATTATTTTATTGTTTGTGCAGTGAAAACGAGCAACTTGATGGTCCTGTCCTCACTCAGTTGCCCGTAGACGACGTATTGTCTCGGGATTTGGTAGATGCGCAGATTCAGGAAGATAATAGTGATTATGACAACAATGCCGATGAGTCTGGAGATGACACACCCTTCCCTGACGAGGGTGATGATGAGGAGGAAGAGAATGCTGAACCTGATTTGACGAGGGAGCATGCTCCACCTCCCGTTAGACCAAGAGTGTACGAGTCCCACGTGCCGTTTCATTCAAGGTATATTGCCTACCTTGATCATTTTCCAAGTGTGCCGGATGTGGATGCCCTCACAAGGGATTTTGACGAAATTCGGACAGCAGTCTAGGATGAGTCTAGAAGAACAGTGCTGGCAAAGGGCATGCTTTTTCCTGATAAAGCACGCCTAAGCAGGGCGGCAAAAATGTACAGCGTAAAAGAGTGCCGTGAGATGATGGTATGGGAGTCATCTCCGGATGTATACGAGGTTGTTTGCCGTAGATTGTTTACCGGTTGTCATTGGATGCTGTGTGCGAGCAAGAAGAAAACAGGGTTGTGGAAAGTGGGTAAATATATTGGCACCCACAATTGTAAAATGGACACATTCATTGGGAATTACTTCAACTTGGATGTTGAATTGATTTCTCTCAACTGATTCCACACATTGAAACGTCCATAAGGTACAAGATCAAAGATTATATTACAATTGTCCAGCAGGAATATGGGTGTACTATTATCAAAAGAAAGGCATATCTCGGGCGCAAACGTGCATTTAAATTGTTTATGGTGACTGGGATAAGTCATTTGCATCTCTGCCCAGGTACATTGCCGCATTGCAACACTTTAACCCCGGGATTGTTGTTGAATGGAAGGTTGAGCGGAGTGCAGGAATATCGGAATATATATTTAGATATGTGTTCTGGGCATTTAAACCAGCAATTGATGGTTTTGTGCATTGTCGTCCGATAATTTTCATAGACGGTACTCATGTCTATGGAAAGTATGATATTAAGCTGTTGATCGCCGTTGCAGTAGATGCTAATGGACAAATATTTTCACTAGCTTTTGCCATATGTGCCAATGAAAGCCAAGAGATGTGGACGCTATTTTTGAACCACTTGAAGCAGCACGTTGTCAAACAACTTTCAGGTATTTGTCTAATATCTGACCGGCATGGTGGTATATTAAGTTCTGTAGAGCATTTTTCTGAATGGCAGAAACCATATGCATACCACTATTACTATGTGAGGCACCTGAAGGCCAATTTTCAGAAGAAATATCCCAACAAGGACTTGCATGATTTAATGTGGATAGCTGCAACTGATCACCGGGAGTGCAAATTCAGGAGGCGCGTGGAATCGATCCGGCAGTTAGACGAAAGAGCCTATCATTGGTTGATGCGATATGAGCTTTACAAGTGGGACATTGCATGCGGATGGTGGCAGACGAAAGGGAACCCTGACTACAATGTGTCGGAGTCTTTCAATGGGTTATTGAAGTCTGCACGTGGATTGCCTGTCACTGCCATGGTACGGATGTCATTCAAACAGATGGCGGAGAGGTTTGTTGAAAGGATAGAGGTGCATCGGAATTGATGGAGAGGGGTGTTGAATTTATGCCAATACCAATAAAAAGATTTGAGATATATAGGAGGCGAGCACATTGGCATTCATTTTTACAGTATTGCAACGAGCGAAATATTTTTGTAGTTCGCACCGCTATCCACCAACACCAGGGGAATAATATACACACCGTAAATGAAGCCAACAGGTTGTCTTCTTGTGGGAAATGGCCCATCTACCACATGTCGTGCTCACATGCCATGAAGTGCTTTCAACCTACAGGTTTAGGGGCAACCAACTATGTTGATAGGCAATACAATGTTGTTGCATACTTAAACACATATAGTGGGCAGTTGCAGCCAGTTGGTGTTGCGTCGGAACCATTTAAAATGGTGTGTAAGAAGGACTATTTGCGTAAGCTACAAGTGCAAAAAAGAACGTGTACACGGAACTAAATGGATGTTGGTGATACCGTTTATGCGCGTAAATATGGCATATGCTCGCAAACAGGACACGACCGTCGTAAATGTCCTTCAGTTGGTTTGGGTGGCGGTGGTAATCCAGCTCCTGGTGGAAGTTTATCTAATGTGCCCAACTATCAAGGTTTCGTAATGTGGTTGTAATAAGTGTATGTACTTGTTTTTGTTGCAAGATGTATCAAATAAAATTATGTTTTCACTGTTGTTAAATCTTATTGATATTTAACATTTTCCAGTTGAGTAAACTAATGAATTTCTCCCTCCCATTCATGTAATCATAAATAGTATTGGATTAAAAAACGGAAATTTTTACGTTGACTTTCAAATTTCACTCTAAAATTATTAGAAAACTACAGTGTCGGAGGAGGAAGATGTTTGATAAATATGTGAATATATATAACGTGGTTAAATACTACGTTATGTGTGTTGTCTTGTCGATCTGAGAAGTTGTCCGCCTTCTAAAAAGTTGTTTTGTATCCGAAAGAATCTTTAACACGCGAAGCACAGCGCGGTTAAATACTACGTTATGTGTGAGCATGTATAGCGCGGTTAAATACGGTGTTATGTGTGTTGTCTTGTCGATCTGAAAAGCTGCCCGCCTGCGAAAAAGCTGTTTTATATCCGAAGGAATCTTTAACACGCGAAGTATAGCGCGGTTAAATACTGCATTATGTGTGAGCATATATAGCGCGGTTAAATACTACTTTATGTGTGTTGTATTGTCGATCTGAAAAGCTGCCCGCCTGCAAAAAACTATTTTGTATCCGAAAGAATCTTTAACACGTGAAGCATAGTGCGGTTAAATACTACGTTATGTGTGAGCATAACGCGATTAAATACTTAGTTATGTGTGTTGTCTTGTCGATATAAAAAGTTGCTCGTCTGCGAAAAAGCTATTTTATATCCGAAAGAATCTTTAACACGCGAAGCATAACGCGGTTAAATACTACGTTATGTGTGTTGCCTTGCCTATAAATAATGGGCGCATTCTAGTTATTTTCTGCGTTTAACCATAACAAATAGCAAAACTTTCCATAAAAGTTGGTTTTTTTTTTCGATTTAACAAATGTCTGAACGCATTTATGTACCAATGTGGCAAACGTTATATGTCGGCGGACTGTTGGGATATGGTCAAGTTGGGCGCATATACTGGATGTGTGTGAACAGGTTTGGAGGCAACAACGGAAATTTTTACAATTTTGAGGTATGTTTTGATGAACCCTGTAAGCAAGAATGCTACAAAGAGTCTTTGCAGTATTATCATGATTTGACCAAAAGATACTAGGGTGATGAGATTATGTATAAACGAGAAATTACGGAGTTGAAGGAGAAACTAAAAGAGGCGGAAGAAGAAAAAAATAAG